TATGCCATTAGCCTTCTTGGCTACAAGGGCACACTATTGACTCATATCCAGCTTCTCATCCACTGTAACCCCTAGGGCCTTTTCTGCAGAACTACTACTTAACTCCAATTTGTCTAAGTCACTCTGGACCCTATCTCTGCCCTCAAGCTGACTATTCCTGATCACTTTCCTCTCATCCAAGTGCCTCAAAATGGATTCATTAAGGATCCCTTTCATGATTTTTCCAGGAACCAAGGTAAGACTGACCTCTCCCCCTAGCTTAGTGTCATCTGCAAACTTGCTGAGGGTGCAATCCATCCCCATCTCCAGGTCATTAATAAAGATATTGAACAAAACCGGTCCAAAACCGAACCTTGGGGCACTCCACTAGAAACCGACCGCCATCCTGACATCGAGCTGTTGATCACTACCTGCTGGGCCCGGCCTTCTAGCCATCTTTCTATCCATCTTACTGTCTATTTAACCAATCCACATTCCCTTAACTTGCTGGCAAGAATATTGTGGGAGACAATATCAAAAGCCTTGCTAAAGTCAAGGTATATCACATCCACTGACTTTCCCACGTCCACAGAGCCAGTTACCTCATCATAGAAGCTAATCAGATTGGCCAGGCATGACTTTGCCGTTGTGAATCCATGCTGACTATTCCTAATCACTTTCGTCTCTTCAAGTGCCTCAGAATGGATTCCTTAAGGATCCCTTCCATGATTTTTCTAGGAACTGAGGTAAGACTGACCGGCTATAGTTCCTTGGATCATCCTTCTCTTTTTTGAAGATGGGCATTACATTTGCCTTTTTCCAATTATCCGGGATTTCTCCCAATCTCCATGACTTTTCAAAGATAATGGCCAAAGGCTCTTCAATGACATTTGCCAACTCCCTCAGTACCCTTGGATGAATTAAGTCCGGACCCATGGATTTGTATACGTTTAGCTTTTCTAAATAGTTTCTAACCTGTTCTTTACCCACCAAGGGCTGTCCATCTTCATCCCATCTTGCGTCACTTAGCGCATTAATCCGGGAGCCCACCTTGTCCGTGAATACAGAGGCAAAGAAAACATTGAGTACTTCAGCTTCCCCTACATCGTCTGTCACTAGGTTACCTCCTTCATCCAGTAGGGGCCGCATACCCTCTCTGATCACCTTCTTCTTGTTAACATGCCTGTAGAAACCTTTCTTGTTATACTTCATTATTCATTATTTAGAATGAAGGGGCTTCTTATTTCATCCCCTATTCTCTCTCAGTGCCTGTGAGCTGGATAAATCACTGAGATTGCTGTCTCAGCATTTCTACAGATAAACGTACTGAGCCTTTTACCTGTGGTGCTATAGACAATGTGCTTAGGTCCCTCAGATTTAGACTTGTTAGGGTACATGTCATTATGCTCTTACTCTTCATTAAAACATTAAACATTCATTTTATATGTCTAAAAATGCTATACAGATATATATGATGGGGAAGATAGACCCCAAAGCCTTCTCTTGTATCTCTGACCATCTTTTGTAAAGTAGAAAGCAAATCATTTCCCTTTTTTCCCCAAATTTACAAGCCTAGCAGGTCTCTTCTGGGTAGAGGTTAAAGCGCGGGATTCATATGGAATCAGAATAGGGTCCAAGTAAACATTTGTGTTGACTTATGCTCCAAATCCTGGTTATATAATCTATGTTTTTGCGATTCCTCCATCACTCTGGTGTCTGGACGCTAGCCACCTTAGATAACCTCTCTCTTGCTACATTGACAATAATGTTTCAATGCTAGGAAGACTGAAGTAGTTCTGTATGCGTATGTTTACACTGCATTCTGAAGTGTGATTATAGCTCATGTAGACATACTTGCTTTAGCTTTAGCCATGTGCTAGCATTGCCAAAAACAGCATTATAAATATGGTAGTACAGGCTTCTGCATGGACCTTATAAGCATATACCTACTCACAAAGTTAGTCTTCTCTGAAATCTGTACCTCATTAGTGCTGCTATTTGTAGTCATGCTAGCATGGGTAAAGTTAGCATGAGTATGTTTATACAAGCTGCAATCCTAACTTGTGTTTCAATGTAGACATACCAACTGTCTAGATGCTGTTTTGACACTTCTACTATAGACGTAAGTCTTTAAAGATCGTGCTCAATATTCATCTAGACAGAGGGTATGGATTGTTAGTGAAAAATATTGAAGTAGGGAACCTTTTCCAACATGCTTTTCTGAATGATTAATGTTTTCAGGTATGCAATGAAATGTTTAGATAAGAAGAGAATCAAGATGAAGCAAGGAGAAACATTAGCCTTAAATGAAAGAATTATGCTGTCACTAGTCAGTACTGGAGTAAGTATCCTGGAATTTTTTCTCCATATTTTATAATTATTTTTAGCTGTGTAGAATACATATTCTGTTAATTCATTCATGGTTGGTGTACTGGAAGTCAAAGCCATACCAAAGGATAATGATGTTAAGTGCCCAAAGTTATGAAAATGAAAACAATAAACCCCAACTGATTACAAAACAGGCGTTGAAATGATAGACCCTCCAGAGTACAATGACCTCATTACATAAAGTCGAATATCAGCTCTTGTTACCATGGTAACAGAGGATGTTGGTAGAAAGGTTAATTTTGTTCATGATTATTACTCTGTTCAAATGAGATTCACAATTTACAGCTCAGAATAAGCATATCCCCATGACCTAGCTCAGTTAAAAATAAAAGGGAATGCATATCATTTTGGTATAGATTCATTGGATAATGTGTATTTATGCTTGCAGAATTATTACTAATTCAATAAAGAACTCCAAAACAAATGAAATAAATTGATGAATTTGCTGCATTTCCAAACAGAAGATATTAGGTATCTCAGTCAGTTTGCGTACATTTGATTTTTGTCTCTGCATTCTCAGAAATACATGATGAGCATTCTCTTCTTGTCTGAACCTTGTTGTTGTGACATATTTATCAGTATTTTTTTATTAAATGCATACCCACCATCCTCATCAGTGATCTGTGCCTGTGCATATAGACCACTTTGAGCTATAAACCAGGGAATCTACTTATGTAACAAACCCTCCAAATCAGTGTTTCTAATACTTTCTAAGACCGAGGAACACCAAATAATAATTTTTTTTATTAGAAACACCAAGGATTTTTTGTTGAGGGGAAAAAAAATGGTCGGGGGGAAAGTTGAGAAAAAAAAAGGTCACCTGCCCCTTTAAGGGCGGCCATTTTTAACTCTCTTGTTCTCTGTGGCACACCTCCAACTACCGGAACACAGTTTAAGAAACACTGCTCCAAATGGTCTATTTCCCACCAGAAGCTTGAATGTCTTCTTATTCATAGAATCATAGAATCATAGAACTGGAAGAGACCTCAGAAGGTCATCAAGTCCAGCCCCCTGCTCTAGGCAGGACCAGTTCCAACTAAATCAACCTGGCCAGGGCTTTGTCAAGCTGAGACTTTTAAACACCTCTAGAGATGGAGACTCCACTACTTCCCTAGGTAACCCATTCCAGTGCTTCACCACCCTCCTAATGAAATAGTTTTTCCTAATATCCAACCTAGACCTCTCCCACCACAACTTGAGACCATTG